CTTTTTTATTGTTTTCTTTTAAATATTTCAATCATTCAGTTGTCAACCATTCTTTCATGTAAATTATAATTCCACTCTATGAAAATCGCTTCCAATATATTTGAGAAGATTTTTACTCACATGAAAGAAATTTTACCAGGAAGCTATAAATATAATGAGATGTTAAGATATACATGTATCACATTTCTTTTTAATCTTCATTCATTGCTTTACATTAAATATACTGTCATTTCATTGATTGACGATTTGTGATTTGATTCCATTCCATGAAGCATGTTTGTATCACAAAACTCGATTGATTGATTGTTACTGTATATTCATATCAAAACAACTCTTCATTTTGTACATTTAAAAAATATGACAACACATTGTTTGTTTTAAATAAGCTTCTTTATTTGACAACATAGCCCCCTTTCAAGTGTTAGTTATTTCTTTTTTTTATATATTTTTCATGATTTATATTGCATGCTCTGAAAGTACACCTCTAAAACATTTCAATTTATGTACACTATATTTATAAACTTTTTTTTTCTTTATTATTTTCTTATAAAGTTGGTCTACATTTTTGCTCTGTATTTGGAATAATTATTTTCTAAAAACTAATAATAATCCTGAACTAATATGCATCACAATAACTAGTTTAAATGCACAAATCTAAATGATTATTTATTGTATGGTTAAAGTTTTCTCATAATTATCACAATTATATATGCACTGTATTTACCTTTCCTAACTAACAAAGAAGAATTGTAAAAACTGGCTACAGTATGCCCAGAGGAACCAAAAATGAAAGTCAAATGATTAAAGCAACAGCAGATGAAATTATGTCCATTCATGTATTCACTATAACCAAGAGCATAACAAGCCAGGTTTTACTGTTCTTTATAACCTCTGACCCTGGCCCCGTGTAATGTAGATGACCTCAGAGGTCAACTTTTGATTCTATTTATAGCCTGATCCTGTGGTAGAGGAGGAGATAGATTGGTGGTCCAAGTACTACGCCTCCACGGGACAGACCCACAAGTGTGAGAAGTACGTGGAGAAGGGCCACGACAAAATCGAGGTGAGCAAAATTAGACCCGACGTATTACAACCTGAGGGGTTATAGTACTGTGCATAAGAGAGACATTTATTGAGAAAAAAGCGCATGTACATGTAACTCTACTAGAAGTCAAAATCGTGGAAATTTTTGTTGTTTAGCCAAGTTTAAGGTCTTTTTTATTTAGCTTTTGATCTCATCTGTGTAACCTTTGTTTTAAATGTTTATGTCCACATCTCTCATGTAACAATTTTTATTTAGGTTTATCAAACTGCTCTGGAGGACGTAGATTTCACTAAAGGATTTACCGATTTCTGCTCAACATTTGAGTTACAAAGAGGCAAGGATGATGATGAAGATGAATCAAATATTGTGGGAGAGTTCAAGGTCAGTAGGTCAAGGTCATAGCTATCATAAAAACACAAAAAGTTATAAACATGGTGACAAGAAGTATATAATAGGTCAAGGTCACAGTCAACATAATGAGAAAAAAATTGGCCAAGGTCACACAATGTACAGGTCATTATCGTTTATGTTTTTTTTTACAGGGAGGATTCAAAGTGTACCCCCTGCCCCCTGACCCTAATGAGGAGATGCCCTCCAAGGTGTTTGTTAATTTACCAAGCTCAATCCCAGAAGAATGTATCATCAGAGTCTATGTCATCTGTGGCATTGACCTACAGCCCAATGATACTAGTGGCCTGGTATGTATATATAACATTTTTGTACATTCAATGTATCACCAGAGTCTATGCTAAGCCTATGTAGGGCATCGAATACAACCACAGGCACTTGTTTCATATGTGGAGTCACCCCCTTCTTTTTCTTACTACAAGTTACCTCATTCAATTCCTACATGTGTGTTGAGATGTGATTGGTTAATAAATCTTTTTTTTCTAGACTGACACTATGTTAAGATCTGATTGGTTGGTTATTTTCTATTTTAGGCTGACCCGTATGTAGAGATTATCCTCGGCAATAAGAAGATAAGTGACAGGGATAACTACAAACCAAACACTATTGACCCAGTTTTTGGACAGTAAGTTTTGGGGGAAAGTTACACTATTCAGTCAGAAAAAATGTCTAAATACAGACTAGTATGGTTATATTAAAAAATTTCTAATTTTTTCCTTTTTAATTCCAAATTGTTTTATTTTAATCAAATTTTTAAGATGAAATTGGAACTCGTTGATAACTTGATCTTTTTTTCAGAATGTTTGAATTGGCAGCCATGTTACCCGTACAGAAAGATCTGACAATCCGTATCAAGGATTACGACCTCATCAGCAGTGATGATGTCATCGGAGAGACCATGATAGATCTAGAAAATCGCTACGTGTCCAAATACCGTGCAACATGCGGATTACAGAAATCCTACTGCATGTAAGTTACTTCTGTAAAAAATCATTGTCTTTGAATGGAATAAAATAAAAGATGTTTATTTTATTAAATATGTCTGTCTTTCAAGCTGTCAATCTGTATCCTGTAAGGAAAGTTCAAAATGTCCATTAATTTATTTAGTACCTGTATTTGTATCATAAGGATCTTAATTTTGTGAAGGAGATCTAAGTGTAGGATCGGAACTAGGCTGTGGCATCAATTTGATAAAAAGTGTACCCCAGATTACAATAAATTTGTTATGGTGATACTTTGAATCTCTTAAATAATAAATTATTGGGTGTTGCAGTGCTGGTGTCAACCAATGGAGAGATGCCGCCAAGCCAAAACAGATTCTAGAGAATTACTGTAAACAGAACCATGTGTCTGGTCCACTATTTTACGGAAACAACAGTGTCAAGGTCGGCAAGAAAATTTACAACCTGACCGAGTTTGGTGAGTCATTAAAATAAATGTTGATACAGTCAATCCTTGTTATTTTGATCTAAATATGCACCCCCCTCCTCCCCCAAATTAAAAATCTACAAAATATCCAAGAATTTTAGATGGTTATGGGTAGAATACTTAAAAAATATGGGATTTAGACTACAAAAATCACTTTGACATATAGATAGTATTTAAGATATATCAGTTTTTGAGATACCAAAGTACAACTTTATTTGCAAGGAATAACGAAGAATGGAAAAGTTTTATACTTTGTTTATACACAATGTAAACTAAAGTCACTCTCTTATTGGATATAACAAGTCTATTTTCTTCCCCTTTCACAAAACAGTTATTTATTGTGATTTATTCCAGAGCCAAACAAGCCTGTTGATCCGAATGCTGGACCTGCCGAGGAGCGTCTGGCCTTACATGTGTTACACACGCTGCCATTGGTCAAGGAACATGTAGAGACACGCCCACTTTTTAACCCCATCCAACCAGGCATTGAGCAGGTCATTCTTATTAAAAAAAAAAGTTTTACTGACTTCAATTTACTCAGTCTGGTAGTGTACAGGAAGTTGAGTAAAGAAAAGGTTTTTAATGCAATGCACAAGTGTTATTCAACCTACGTACATATCTAGTACCTGGGGTAATCAGTTGAAAATAAAAAATAAGGTTGATGGTATTATATATACCTGACTGTATATTAAGTTATTTACCATATGCTGATCTATGATTTATTTTCCAGGGCAAACTCCAGATGTGGGTCGACATTTTCCCCAAATCTCTGGGTGTTCCTGGACCCCCATTTAACATAGAACCAAGACGGGCTAAAGAGTAAGCTCCCTTTATGCAATCCTGAACTGTTTATGATGTTTCCCATTATTTTGTATATTGATTTCATTGTACATGTAATTGAAAAAGCTTCCTCTGAAAATGGATGTTTATGAGTTGAAGTATTGGGTATCAAAATTTTATTTACTTTTATGTCAAACAGGAAGAGAGACTTTTATATGGTCTTCTTTGAAAGAAATGATTTGTTGCAGTAATTTTGCAAAGTGTGGTTTTGAATACTGTAAACGTACTTTTTTCCACGGGGTCATAATTCCGCGGAATCACCATTTCTGTTTAATCCGCGGGTAGAAAATTACGCGGATTTCTTAGACTCTCATTATTAGCCTTTTATACATTTTAAATACGAGGGGACAAATTTCTGCGGAAAATTTGTGACCGCCTACATAGCGTAAATAAATACCACGCGGAAAAAAGTACTTCTACAGTATTTTAATTGTTCTTCTATCATATTGATGGTATGACAAAATTTAATTTCTTGAGAGATGTCCTAAATAAACAGTTTCTGTAGGACTGGATATAACAAAGGCTCCCTGTTTTGTTTTAGTTACGTACTGCGTGTCATTATTTGGAACACTGTGGATGTCGTGCTGGAGGAGGAATCCATCACGGGAGAACAGATGTCTGATATCTATGTCAAAGGCTGGATCTCCGGCATTGACGAGAAACAGAAAACAGATGTACACTACAGGTATGATGTAACAATTGGTTCCTCAGCACTGACAGATATATGTACTATGTAAAATGCCATTTCTTTCAGGCCACTTGAGTCAGATTGATTTTTATAGTAGTCTGTATTTAAATGCTCCACATTTTTCAAGTTCTTTCAATTGGAAGAAGCATATTCTACTTATTTTAGTGTTGCATCTATGGATTAAGTGGAACAAAAATTTACAAGTTTAATATTCCCATCCATATTCATGATATGGAGAAAAGATTTGAAATGTTACCATTTAACAATATATTATCTACATCACATATTTTCGTGGGGTCAAATTTTCGAGGTTTGAAGAAAAATTTCTGGTTTGTAAGGGCTTTGATTTCGTGGTTGGAAAATGTTTATTAGTAATGCATATGAAACTTTTCATTTCATTGTGGTAAAAGATTCATGGGTTTCTCCATACCTCGAAAACAACAAAAATTAATCCCCCATGAAAATTAGTGATTTTACAGTATATATTTTAATCAGGAGGATTGATCTTGTGAAATTAAGGATGAGTTTTTAATTCAGGTCCCTGGATGGAGAAGGAAACTTCAATTGGAGGTTTGTTTTCCCCTTCAGTTACGTCCCAGCTGAACAGGTGATGGAGGTCAGGAAAAAGGTAGGTCAAGGCCATTATGTAATTCAAGGTCAAATGACAGAAATGGTAGTTACAAAAACATTTATAGATAATTGTATTGGAACATGAGCAGAACCTCAATATGAGGCTCCTATCCAGTCATGTTCCAGGAGGTAAAGAGATGGTGAGGTCAAAGGTTAAATTGAAAAGAGGTCATATGTTACAGCACAATAGACTTATTCAATAAAACGAAATGAATAAATGATATGCAATCTTGGTTTGAAATTTCTCAGAAAAATATTGGTAATGACCGAGGCAAAGTAGATACAATACCAAAAGTCACAGTCAAAATTGAATGCAGTGAAAAAGAGACAAGCTTGCATTTATTCAATAATTATTGAGAAAAATTAATGTACAGAAAAATTGATTGTAAATTTTATTTTTAGGAGCATTTCTGGAGCCTGGATGAGACAGTACAGCATCTTCAGCCCAACGTTATGATCCAAGTCTGGGACAATGACAAATTCTCCATGGACGACTTCCTAGGTTTGTGTCAAATCAAAAAAAAAATTTCTTCCCTTGCTCTCTGTTATGAGAACTTCAGCTCATTGTACAACTGTACTTTGATTCTTTTATCTATTCATTTTAAAGACAATTTCGATTTATTTTTAGGTACCCTCTGTCTGAATCTGAATGCCATGCCTATGCCGGCTAAGAAGGCGGGGTCGTGTAAACTCACCATGCTCCCTGATGTGACCACAGGGTCAGAGGTCAAACTGGCGTCACTGTTTGAACAGAAGAGACTGCGGGGGTTCTGGCCAGTGTATAACGATGACACAGGACAAAGGGTGCTCACTGTAAGGAATACATTGATTATTGTAAAGCTAACATTACCGGTATTACATCATATGTACATATAAAGTTTGCAGTGGCTACTGTAAAAACACATATTTACATGGGGTTAAATTTTCATGGTTTGAGGAAAAACTCTTGGTTCATAGGGATTTGATTTTGTGGATGGAGAATTGTTGAGTAGTTATGTATGTAACATTTTACATTTCGTGGTAGACATAAATTCCTGGGTGTCTTCATACCTCGAAAACAACCCCCAAATTAAACCCCAATGAAAATTTGTGATTTCACAGTATTTTGTTACAAGGTTACGTTAGAATGATCATTCATTACAGGGTAAAGTAGAGATGGAGATGGAGCTTGTATCAGTGGAAGAAGCCGAGGAACGACCGGCAGGTCAAGGTCAGGAGGAACCCAACATGAACCCCAAACTGGATCCACCCAAGTAAGTCTATAAAACTGGATCCACCCAAGTAAGTCTATAAAACTGGATCCACCCAAGTAAGTCTATAAAACTGGATCCACCCAAGTAAGTCTATAAAACTGGATCCACCCAAGTGAGTTATTTAAACTGGATCCACCCAAGTAACTACAAGTGGTTTATATTGATAAGATTTACTCCACCCAAGTAACTACAAGTGGTTTATTATTTGATACAAGTGATTTACATGTATATTGATAAGATTTACTCTATTATAGGCGACCGGAGACTTCCTTCCTCTGGTTTACGTCACCCTGGAAGACGATGAGATATATTATCTTGCGTAACTACAAGTGATTTACATGTATATTGATAAGCTTTACTCTATTATAGGCGGCCGGAGACGTCCTTCCTCTGGTTTACATCGCCGTGGAAGACGATGCGATACATTATCTGGCGTAACTACAAGTGGTACATCATCGGATTCTTTCTCCTCATCCTCCTGCTGCTCCTTATCTTCCTGTTCCTTTACTCATTCCCGGTAAGTATATAGGGGAGGATCAAACTTCTCTGTCAGATAGGGGGTGGGTTAGTATATATTCCTGTACTCATTCCCGGTAAGTATACAGGGAAGGATCAAACTTCTCTATCAGATGTGGGGTGGGTTAGTATATCATTATTAATTCTCCTTCTTGTACTCATTCCCAGTAAGTCTACAGGGGAGGATCAAACTTCTCTGTCAGATGTGGGGTGGGTTAGTATAGCGTAATCAATCTCCTTCTTGTACTCATTCCCGGTAAGTATACAGGGAAGGATCAAACTTCTTTGTCACCTTAGGTAAGGGTTAGTATATCATAATAATTCCTCTTCCTGTACTCATTCCTAGTAAGTTCAAACTTCTCTGTCACCTGGGTTGTGGATTATGCATTAGTATAAAAACAATTCCTTCCCAGTAAGTTTGATAGGGTGGGTCAAGCTTTTTATTTTACATATCATTGAGTGTGGACTGAGCATATAATTCATAAACTGGCCATTTTACATTGTATCGGATTTGTAAATAAGTTTTTCCAACAATGAAATTTAAAAAGTAAACAAGCATCTTCATGATTCTGACCAGAAGAAAATAAATATGAAACATTTTGAATTTACATTATCTTTATTCCTTTTCAGGGAGAAGTATCTCAAAAGATTGTTAATGGTTAGAGATTGTCACAAACTTTACATCTATACTCGTCTATACACCTAATGTAGTGATAGCATCAGCAGAGACCAAAAGTAAAGAAGACACCAAAGACTCTTGTCTCCACTCAGTCCTATGTACACAACTCTTAGTTTCTTAAAAATAACTTAATTACATATCTATGGGTATTAAGATGTAATCATTTTTCTAAAGGGAGGTAATTATTCATGGAAGCCATGTTGAAGATCAAACATTTTTACGGAAGTGACAGTTGTTTACAAGGAGTTCCGTAGTTTGGAGTTGACTTGACATTTAGTTGTAAGAGTGATTAACTTGGGAGGTTAAGGTAATAATCCTGTGCAGGGATTTCTAGCTGCTCTGTGATAAAGTACACGATGCTTCCTATCTTAAATTTATGTGCTTGATATATGATGCTGGTCATCTAAGAACAAATGTACGTGGATGTCATTTGTTACTAATGATCAAAAGAGTAATCCCAACGACCTCTCTGTACTTAGTTAACCTTTCTGTACTTGGTTAACCTTTCTGTACTTGGTTAACCTTTCCATGTCAGTAGACAGTGTTATGCATTTAAAATATTATTTTGGGTCATCTTGCCTTAGATTGTTAAAGCATTTGATCACCATCTACATGTTTATTATATACATGCATGTTATTATTATTGCTTTTATTTTAGAACAAATTGTAGCATTCCTTTTTTTCTAATTAATAAATTATTAGTAAAAATTTTTTGTAATGAAAAAAAAAACATTATATTTATACATGCCTATAAGTGATACTGATATATTTTGTAAATCATTGAAATACTTTTTAAGCTACTTTTGTATACGTGTAAGAAAAAGTGATTGATGAAAAAAAAAAAAATTATAATAAATATGTGTAAAAACTCGCTAATGGCAAGTGATGGCGGCAGTGCCTTTAATATTATTTCTTGCAGATTGTTGATGTTAAATCTGCTGCAGTAACTGTTTTAATTTTTAATGATATTTCTATATACCTATTTTTACTCTTTATGAACTCTGTGCTGACTGATATTACGTATCTGTTGGAATCAGGCATTGGAAGTTACCGGATGTGGCAGGTCACATTCTGAAGCTAAAATATCATTTATTGTTAACTTGCAGGTGCTTGTACATCGATTCATTTACATGCTCTTTAGCCAAACTAACAGCAAAAAAATGTTTTGTAAGTCATTATGATTTTACCAGTGTTAAACAGATCAGATTAGGCCTACAGATAATGTGACCAGTTTCACCATGGTAACTGCAATGACCTTGAAGTATCAGTGCAATCGTATGCAGTGTGTAATCTATTTTAGGGATGTGGAATGTTCAAATTAAAATAGACCAATAAACTCATTATAGATACATGTACAACTGTTCTTATTATAAAGAATACATGGTGATAATCACACAAGAAGGAAGAAAATGTACTGGACAAGACACCAGGATTTGAACGAACTTGGACTCCCTAGCCTCTAGACAGCTGCTCTTCTACCCCCAGGGACATGATTTGATATGATTTCGCACTACATGAGGATGCATCTGAATTAATATGACTATACCCTTATGACTATATAATCATGGATTTCATGTTAATCACATTAAGCCTATTGGTGATAATCAATGCATAAAACATGCATTGTAAGTGTTGACTTAATCTTATTTCAATATGATTGTTGCTTCGTCTCCGAGAGAGACAAGTCTAACAAGAGGCCCAAGGGCCTTGAATCGCTCTTCTGATAAATTGTACAATCTATCACTTCTATTAGAATCCTCAAACTCTATTAACTTACAAAGTTTGATAATATTTAGCCAGTTAAGACTGAAGATATTATAATATAATTATAAAATACCATAAGTAGGTCACAGTAACGATGACCTACTTTTTGGTCGACTATCTTCGAAAACCCAAGATGCCTCAACTGACAAAGTTTGATGATTCTTAGCCAATAAGTGCCTGAGATACTTAAATATAGCCATAAAAATGTCAAAAGTAGGTCACTGTGACCTACTTTTTGGTCCTCACTCTCTGAAAACCCAAGATGCATCAGCTCACAAAGTTTGATGATTCTAAGTCAATAAGTACCGGAGATAAATAAAGCCATAAAATGTCAAAAGTAGGTCACAGTGACCAACTTTTTGGTCGTCGCTCTCCGAAAACCAAATATGCATCGACTCTTATAATTCTAGGCCAATAAATACTTAAGATACTTAAATATAGCCATAAAATGTCGAAAGTAGGCCATTGTGACCTACATTTTGGTCGACATTTTTCAATGACCCAAGATGCATCTACTGACCAAGTTTGATGATCGTAGGTCTGAAGGTAATCAAAATATGCGTTTTAAACAATTTGAAAACAAATGTTGGCAAAATTCAACAAGAGGCCCAGGGGCCACAGTGCTCACCTGAGCACACCGGCTAGGAAAAAGCAAATATCAGATCAGAAATGAAAGTTTACTGAGTTTGGAGGGGGGCTTAAATTTTAACCCCCCAGGGGGTCATGATTTGAACAAACTAGAATCTACACTACCTGAGGATGATTTCATATAAATATCACTAATTATGACTTTGAAGTACTTGAGAAGGAGATTTTAAAAGATTTCCCTATATATTCTTACGAAAAACTTTGATCGACCATTTTGGCCCCTACCCTCCCGGGGGTCATGATTTGAACAAATTTGAATTAACACTACCTGAGAATGATTTCACATGAGTTTTATCTTTCCTGTCTTAATCACTTCTTGAGAAGAAGATTTTTAAAGATTTTTCCTATATATTCCTATGTAAAACTTTGATCGGTCACTTTGGCCCCACCCAACCGCCAGGGGCATGATATGAACAAACTTGAATCTACACTACCTGAGGATGATTCCACATGAGTTTCATCTTTCCTGGCTCAGTAGTTCTTGAGAAGAAGATTTTTAAAGATTTTCCCAATATATTCCTATGTAAAACCCTACCCCTGGGGGTCATAATTAAAAAAAATTGAATCTACACTACCTGAGAATGATTTCACATGAGTTTTATCTTTCCTGTCTGAATGGTTCTTGAGAAGAAGATTTTTAAAGATTTTTCCTATATATTCCTATGTAAAACTTTGATCGGCCATTTTGGCCCCACCCTACCCCTGGGGGGCATGATTTGAACAAACTTGAATCTACACTACCTGAGGATGATTCCACATGAGTTTCATCTTTCCTGGCCCAGCGGTTCTTGAGAAGAAGATTTTTAAAGATTTTTTCCTATATATTCCTATGTAAAACTTTGATCGGCCATTTTGGCCCCACCCTACCCCTGGGGGGCATGATTTGAACAAACTTGAATCTAGTACACTACTTGAGGATGATTCCACATGAGTTTCATCTTTCCTGGCCCAGCGGTTCTTGAGAAGAAGATTTTTAAAGATTTTTCCTATATATTCCTATGTAAAACTTTGATCGGCCATTTTGGCCCCACCCTACCCCTGGGGAGCATGATTTGAACAAATTTAAATCTACACTACCTGAGGATGATTCCACATGAGTTTCATCTTTCCTGGCCCAGTGGTTCTTGAGAAGATTTTTAATGATTTTTCCTATATATTCCTATGTAAAACTATGATCGGCCATTTTGGCCCCACCCTACCCCCGGGGGTCATGATTTTAACAAATTTGAATCTATACTACCTGAGGATGATTCCACATGAAATTCATCTTTCCTGGCCCAGTGATTATTGAGAAGAAGATTTTTTTAAAATGCCATTAATTTTTCTCTAATTCATAATTATCTCCCCTTGGAAAAGGGCGTGGCCCTTCATTTGAACAAACTTTAATCCCCTTCACCCAAGGATACTTTGTACCAAGTTTGGTTGAAATTGGCCTAGTGGTTCTTGAGAAGAAGATGAAAATGTGAAAAGTTTACAACAACGACTACAACGACGACGACTACGACAACAACGACAGACAACGGACAAATTTTGATCAGAAAAGCTCACTTGAGCCTTCGGCTCAAGTGAGCTAAAAAGTAGGTCACAGTATCCTACTTTTTCATAATATGTTTTAAGGTCCCAAGATGCATCAAAGTACAAGATTTGATGATTGTAAACCTCCCAGTGTGTGAAATAATGGGATTTAATGTTTTTAAAAGGATAAGTCATAAAGTTCAAAAAGTAGGTCACGGTGACCTACTTTTAAGGCGACATTGTTCGAGGACCCAAGATGCTTCAACTGACAAAGTTTGATGATCATAGGCCTTAAAGTGTCCAAAATATGCCTTCAAATCAATTTGAAAACAAATCCCAGCAAAATTTAAAAAGTAGGTCACCGTGACCTACTTTTGAGTTAACATGATGTGAAGTCATAAGATGCATCAACTTACAAGACTTGATGATCCTAGTCCTTATAGTAAGCAAAATATACACGTTTTTATTAATTGTAAATTTAGGTCAACTTTGAAGTAACATGAGACCACGCCCTTTGCCCCAGGGTAATTCCCCGTGCAAATTTTAATCTTCGACATATCCTATTCCTTGTATGAAAGTTTGGTGAAAATCTGCCTGGTGGTTATGGAGAAGAAGATTTTTTAGCAACCAGTACTTTTTTTTTTGTTTTCCTGATTATCTCCCCTTGTTTAAGGGTCCCGACCCTTATTTTAGTATAAAGGGTAGCCCTTGGGCCAAGGATACCCTGTAACAAATTTGGTACTGATTGACCAAGGGGTTCTTGAGTTATGGCCCATATTCTAAAAAGTTTACGCACACCACACAAATGGCCATAGCATTAGCTCTTTGAGCCTTTGGCTCAGAAGAGCTAAAAATAAAATGAAATTTGTCAGCAGGTCCCCTGATGTTGTGGGGATGAAAATTACATAGAAAAATACCATAGTCACACAGTCACCACTAACCCAAGTTAAGACATTTACAAAATACTGGAACCAATATATTATAAAAAAATATTTTGGACAGTTTTTGCTGATTTTTCCTAGCTTGTAACATGATGTATTCCAGGCAACTAAAAAGTAGATAATTCTGCTTCCAATCATACGCTGATCAAGAAACATGCCCTTTTTGAAATTATATTTTGGTTTCATAAAAAAGGAACAAATTTAAAGTACATGTATATTGCAATGTCTTTTATTCTTGTTTTGCCAGTGTTCTTTTTTTTAAAATGTCCACAAACAAAATATAAGACAATAACACAGCAGCTGACTTCTTCATACATTGCAAAATTTATTAACAAATTTAAAATGTAATTATTATAATAATTATTATAATTATGACAATAGTATGAACACAATATATGTACAATTACTTGTATTGATTTAAAAGACACTTCTGTACACGGAACAATAAATAATTTCTCAATGACCCTTTCATCTCAATTCTGCATCCAAAGCTGATCACATGACATGTGGTAAATGCTGGTCACATGGTAAAGTCCCTAGTAAAGTCGTACTCTATTGTTGGAATCACTGCTTGCACAAATTTTAGAAAAATCATAAGGTATCTGATTGAAGTCAAGGCATCAAAAAGAAATGGAGCCCTGTATAAAGTGCTTACAAGAGTTACATTTATTTTGATGTTGATAGCCCTTCATGCAGGAGATCTAAGGCTTTATAAGTGTCTTTTCTGAGAGTCAAATATTTATTGGTAAAATTATGATGCCTGTACATGTATTTGGTTATGTTTTCAGGGAAATTAATAATTTTTTGGACATTAGACCTGAGTGACTTCAGATTCTGTCTAGGTTAGCACCAGGAAATGCAGTGAGAAATACCAGACACACATCCTTAATTTGTTGAAAATACTGGAGTAATTGATTTTAAACAAGTACCAATACGTAATAATGACTGTACCAAGATGTTTGACTTTGGTATTTGTGAATCAGGAACCAGAAATATATTGAGAACTTCCTTATGCCTTTCCTATTTATATGAAATGAAGATCTAAGAATTCATTAGATTTAAAAATTATTCATGCTATATTGTATTGAAGGGTTTTTAAAAAATTCAGAATCATAGACTTTTGAGGAAGTATCACCAAATCTAGAAATTCCACCTAAACAGTAAAAAAATTAAAAAATTAAACCGAGTTATCACACCACATTCACAAAACTTCATTCAACTTAATTTTTCACAGAAATAAACTTCATCTTCTGCTATAAAATCACACCAAAAATTCCGTCTCTTTTAAGGAATAATTGCAATAATATAGTATCTAAACTGACAGAAAGAGAACATAATATCTCAATTATTAAAGTGATTCATATCAGCATGGTCATTGACAACAAGCATTTGTTTATCTGTTGCATTAAAAAGCCTATTTCTGAAATCATGCTTTCCACAGATCTTAAAAAAATGAATGGGGCCCCCAGCCAGAAAGTGAATCTTGATCTTGATTTAAATTCAGGATAAACAGATGATATAATCTTGAACTTGATTTATAAAAGAAGAAAATGAATCTTGAACTCGATTTAACAAAGGATACACATGGACCCCGAGGTCTCCCCCTCCCTCTGCCACCATCTGGATAATCTTCTTCATCACATCGGCATGTCTAAAAAAATCAACATATTAAAAGTACTTATCACATCAGCATGCCTACAAAAATCAAAGTACTGAAAGTACTCATCACATCAGCATGTCTACAAAAATCAAAGTACTGAAAGTACTCATCACATCAGCATGTCTACAAAAATCAAAGTACTGAAAGTACTCATCACATCAGCATGTCTACAAAAATCAAAGTACTGAGAGTACTCATCACATAGGCATGTCTTCAAATTCAAAGTACTGAAAGTACTCATCACATCAGCATGTCTACAAAATTCAAAATACTGAAAGTACTCATCACATCAGCATTTTCTAAAAAAAAAAAATCAAAATACCAAAAGTGCTTATCACATCAGATCAGCAAGTCTATAATGATCAAAGTATTTGTCAACAATTATCAAAGTATTTGTCTACAAAATCATGGTATTTGAAACAGGGTTCGACACTAACTTTTTTGCCTTGGTGGACCGCAGGTCCACTTGTCAAAAATTATTGGTGGACCTTCTTAATATCTGGTGGACCTTTATAAATGTTTTTATTTAATGAATGAATCATTACACAAGGCATTAATTAAAACTAACTTTAATATATACCGATTCCAGACAGACCAATAAAGCATAAATCTAACCATTCAACAGAATCAAATCAACATTAAGGACTAGTAAGAATTTTTTCAGAAATACAGTGGGTTCCGTTTAAACGGATAGTCAGGTTGTCAGAATAATTTTATCCGTATAGCCGAATATTGGAATAGCCGATTGCAATATTTCTATACAAACAGCAGAGATATCTACAGTACACAAGTAACAATTTCAACAAGGTTGTTTTACGTACCTGTACTTTCGTTTTCGTTCGATGCATGTACCAAGTCAGGAAATGAATTATTTCACTTGATTTATAATAACAAGTTCAATGTGATTTTGTATGAATAATTTGTTTTTAATTGCAGTATAAAACTTATTTCCATCTCTATAAATCTTGTTAGCACCAGGCACCTGTTTACATTCATCCCATTCGTTGATGGCATCCATTTTGGAAAAACGGAAGTTGATTGAATACATGACTATATTACGTAGACCATTTTTTTCCGGATTGCTGATTAATAAATAAAAAAAAGTTTATTGTTTCATCTTTACTTGTATGTTATGTCATTGATTGATTAAATTTTCAGACGTATATTTATACGGAGTGCATGTGTTTTAATTCTTAAAATTGCACTTATAAGTGACCACATATTCAACTAAATGACCAAGCGCTACCATTTAATAGACAGTCTAATTCTGATAATTTTAATTTAATGTCCAAGCGAAGTGTCATATTCAAACTGAACAGTTCAATAATTAAAACTTCACACCAAACAAAAATTGCACACAAGCCAATTATCAATGATCTAAATTAACACCCAAGCCGGTCATCACCATTGTTATCAAAACATATCGATCTAGTGTGCCCACTGTTAACACAGGTAAGGTGCTCGCCCGCTCAGCCGTGACTAATCCCCTCATTATCGTGTCTGGAAGTGTCAAACTTGTGTAAACAAAGGATTTACATACAGAAGGTAGAGGTGTGAACGAGACAATTATTATGAAAATCACTATGATAGGCGAAATTTTTGTATCAGATAAAACGAAAATCCCATATTTTCCTATCAGAATATCAGTTGAAATTATTAATAAATATATAAGAAATGGTTTTGTGCTCTGATATTGTATCAGAGTAGCCGAAATATTCGTTTAACCACTATCTGATTAAATGGAATCCACTGTATTGTAAAACTTAAAAAAACAATTAATCTACAAACCAACGAAATATTTTAACAAGAGGCCCATGGGCCTTATAGGTCACCTGAGTATCATGTAACAACTTTCCAGCGATTGTATTTGGTTCGTGTTTTAATCCAAAAGCCATGAAATTCACAAATTTTGAACAAGGCACCATTGCTTATCAAAGGGCAGATTTCAAAGCATTAATTTATTTTTAGTCAAAGTACCCCCCTGGTACCCCTGACCCAGCGTCCCTGAAAGTATCTATTTCGAAAGAGGCCCCTTTCTTCATTATAAGGCCAGCATTTTTTTTTTGTTTAGGTTTAGTTATGAACATGAGAATAAAAAAGTCCCAAAGGAGAAGGAAATCAAAATTTTTTTTTGATAAATCAATTATTAACATTTGTACATTCTTTTTTTTATGCTATTATAATAGGCTCCTTACCACTGGACACATAATGCTTACAAATAGGAAAGTAAAACATTGCTTATTTCATCATCTGCCAGTTTGGGCCAGTTATATAAATTTTGTGATGTTGGTCAAAATATATTTTAAAAAATCAATTCTTTAAAAGTCTTTCAATATATCTTCATTTTTTTTTAATATGTGTTAGGTGAATGTGTAGACATTGTTCTAAAATTTAATCCTATCATAAAACAGACAGGGGGTATTGCGGGTGTAGGGTGAACATTTTTTCAATCAAGTGTAAAATAATTTTTCTGGCTGATACAAATGATACTACATGCCTGTATATATTTGTATTTTCTTGCCTTAACAATTTCTTCCTCAAATGGACTGAACTTCTCCCATAGTTTTATTCATTACATCTGATGCATAAGCAACCCTTTTCTGAAGAATGATGCTTAGACTGTAAGCTATAACAGAGACCTAAACAATGTTGCTGCCCGCTGGCAATATGCAACAGCTACCACGGGCAGTTTAAAACCTGGGGGAGGAAAATAATTTACAGACAGATACTTTTGAAACGAATACATAATTATCTCACCAGCATGTCACTGTGCAACAAAGTCGTCAGCATTTTATTTGTCCTTTGAACAGGTGAAACTTTTTGAATGGCACTCGTATCGATGAATTTTACACTAAACCAAGCTATCTTCTCAGAACTAGCTTTATTTACCCGCCGTTTCGAGATCGTAGACCCGGAAGTGCGAGTTCGTAAATGTGAAATCTCGATGCCGACTCAAATTTGACATCGGAAAGAAAAAAATTGTTTTATTTTTTTCTGAACATTCAAAACCTTGAGCGGAGGGTTTGTAAAACTGAAAATAAAATAAATCCTGGCCTTAAATATGTAATTAGATCATTAGCATATTAACCAGGATGTTCAAAGAATTCATGCATTTCACCATATAATCATAAGTGCCCCACCCTAAAACAAGAACCCCTGACCCTGGGGCCATAAAATTCACAATTTTGGTAGAGGCACTCTTGCTCATCATAACTATGTACTTAGTTAGTTTATTTAATACCCAGGAGCAGAGGAGAAGATTTTCAAAGAATTCATGTATTTTCACTATATATAATCAATAGAGCCCCGCCCTAACACCAGAACCCCTGACCCTGGGGCCATAAAATTCACAATTTTGGTAGAGGCACTCTTGCTCATCATAACTATGTACTTAGTTGGTTTATTTAATACCCAGGAGCAGAGAAGAAGATTTTCAAAGAAATAATGCATTTTCACTACCTACTTATTTAGCCCCGCCCTAGCACTAGAACCCCTGACCCCAGGGCCATGAATTTTACAATTTTGGTAGAGGACTCATTGCTGATTACAATCATGCAAACAGTTAGACTGCTTGATGTCCAGGAGTAAAGAAGAAGATTTTTAAAGATTGCATTAATTTTAGTGGTTTTGGCCCAACCCCTCAGGCCCCAGGGGGGCAGGGATCATGAAATTCACAATTTTTGTTCCCCTTCACCCATAGATGCTTTGTGCCAAATTTGGTTGAAACTGGTTCAGTGGTTGCAGAGAAGAAGCTGAAAATGTTCAAATGTTAACGCACGACGCACGACGGACGACGGACGATGACGGACAAAAACAGATAGCAATAGGTCACCTGAGTTTACTCAGGTGACCTAATAATTATTATTAAATCAAATTACAATGGTGAAAACCTGCATTTATTTCGCTTCCACAGGTAGATTAAATATGGAACTCCAATTACATGTATTAATTAATTTGTTTACCGGTAATTATTAAACAAGTGAATTTTTCATGTATCCCTGGCTAGATCATTTTTTTTTACTACAGTGCAAAACTGACATAGGTACATGTATCTGTATTAATTAATTATTTTCTAAATTTATTATTTATTCAAATAAGTAGTGAAATAATATGTATATCAAGAAAAGAAAATGAAGCTGCAGATAATAGTTAATTACGCCTGTTTGAACATCTATTTGAAAAAAAAAAAATGCATAACTGCAGCTGTCAATCAATTCTAATTATCTCTAACTGTGTGCGTTCAGGCGTGAAGCGATTTCCTGTTACCCAGTGTAATTTTCACACCTTTCTGTGCATTACGTAAACAGAGGAGAGACTGGCTAATTTGGCACAGATTTTTCATGCTTTATTCAAGGTCCGTGTTGAATGTTCTTGCGTCTCAATATTATTGTTAATATTGGAGTTATCAATTTTACATGAAAAATATATCGAGTTGCTTGCCCCCCACCCCTGATTACCTAAACATTATTTACATACATGTATATTTATTTCTTGTATTATACAGGTATGGAGGAATTAATAATTTGAGTTACGGATTTCGATTTAAAGAAAAAAAATCCTAGAATTTTACTCTCTTTAAATATGGTGTTTAAATTTTAAGTGGACCGACGGTCCACCTAGTCCTGAACATTTGGTGGACCTTCCAATGTTTTGGTGGACTCGGGCCGCCGGTCTACCGTTAGTGTCGAACCCTGATTTGTCTACCCAAAATCAAGTATTTGTCTAGAAAAATTAAAGTTCTGAAAGTACTCAGATATTCTAAAATCATAAACTACCTCTTTATCTAATAAATAGAAGCTTTTTTTTAAAATTGTAAACTTGTGCTTCATTTCTGTCATTATTTTGTAATTTGATGTATATATGATGAATTCTGTGAATTTCCAATCCCCCTTATAAATCAATACTTTTTTCAGCAAAACAATGCTGAATTACATTTTTGTTTTGACTGCTTGACTACATCAATTAAGCATTTCATTCAGATTTTGAAGATTTGTATGATCTAGGTACTGTAAATCACTTTTTATTCGCGAGAACTTTATTTTCGCGTAATTACGCGAGACAGCGTGCCCGCGAAAATTTAATTCTCGCGTATAATAGTATTCCTTAAGAATATATAAAGCAATAACCTCAACTCGCGCAAATTTTGTCTCGCTAATCAAGAGTCAATGATTATCTCGCGAAAATAAGGTGTCGCGAAAATTTAGTGATCTACAGTACATTGACTGTGTTCTGTTTACCTGCTGGGATAATTTGATTCTAAATAAGGTCTTACCTGCAAGGATGAACTGAAGCCATTGGGGGTCCTGGTAAATGTGGATGGGCTTCCATGGTAACTGTTTTCTTTGCGTGATCTTGACTGAAGTCTTCATACATTTGTTCCACAGTAAGAGGTTTGCGATTCTAAAAATGTAAAATATTTGATTGGTCCATGATTCAAAAAAAATCTCAATAATATAAGATTCTTGAATATTTGGTACTGTAAATCACTTTTAATTAGTGAGAAGATAATTTTTAATGACAATGTGCTTGCAAAAATTTTATTCTCACATATATTAGTAATCCTAAAGATTACAAAGAGCAAAAACATCAAATTGTAAAAATTTAGTCTTGCTAATCAGAGTTATTGATGATCTCACAAAAACAAGGTGTTGCAAAAATTAAGTTTACTACTGTAACAGTATGTGTATATAGGTTTTTCTTACCTCATCATATCCAAACAGCCAGAGTCTTGGAGTCTGGTAATACTTGTCGTACGTGATGTTAAGGTCGTACGTCCTCGTCTGTAATATTCCACTCTCTATACCACCACTCTCCGAATCCTGTCGTCTCACCATGGTGGTGGGGTCCAAGGCGGCCTTAAAAGGAAACCACAGAGATTAACAAGAGGAAACCACAGAGATTAATAAGAGGAAACCACAGAGATTAATAAGGTGGCCTAAAAATGAAACCACAGAGATTAATAAAAGGAAACCACAGAGATTAATAAGGTGGTCTAAAAATGAAACCACAGAGGTTAATAAAGTGGTCTAAAAATGAAACCACAGAGGTTAATAAGAGGAAACCACAGAGATTAATTAAGGAATCACTGTCTAGTTTTGAGAGTATGCCAGGGCATCAACAATAGTGGGAAACATGGGATAATTTGCATAACGGGCGAAGCCCGTTATGCTAAAATTATCCCATGTTTCCCACTATTGTTGATGTCCCTGGCATACTCTCAAAACTAGACAGTGATTCCTTATATTTCCCTTTCATTGTGAAATAAAATTGTAGACTTAGACATTAAGAATGTAGACTAATCGATTTAAATTACAGGAGGACTTCCATGCCAATTTCAATAGTCCTCGCACACTGACGTCAAACACAAAGGCAGCCGCACGAGATTTACATGCATATTTGGCCTCCTTAGCGTCAAAGAGACAGATGCGCACGAGATTTGCATGCGTATTAGGCCTCCTTAGCTGCTGACCTATCAACCTGCCTAATTTACATTCCGGCAGAATTATCAGGAAATCAACTCCGCTTACTTTCAAAGGGTTATTATAGAGAAAAAATTTAGAAATGGAAATATTAAGCTATAAACATTTGCTCGAATACCTCTGATTCTAAAGCTAGTAATTATTTACATTGTCTTCTTCCTCTAACATCCCACTTTGTTCGAATGCCTCCATGTCCATGGCTTCTTCATCATCATCTTCATCGTCGTCATCATCATCAGCAGCTTTCTTCCCTTCCTCGGCTGATAACGACCCCGTTTTGTCCTAAAAATATTCCATCAAAATATACTTAGCTCAGTTGAGATTGATACCCTGAGTGTAAAGCCTTTCTATTCTAAAATCTAAATAGAACATAATAGTAACCACGACTGACTTTACTGTATATTAAGGTCACTATGTTACTTAGTAACCAAGACTGACTTTACTGTATATTTAGGTCATTATGTTACTTAGTAACCACGACTGACCTTGCTGTCCAAGGTCATTTCCTGTACAGCCTCCTGGAGAGATGTTGCCCCTGGATCTGAAAGACAATCACTGAATCAATGTGAAGTTTATAAACTGTAATCTCTGACATCCATCTTAAAGATAATTATAGTCATTGCTTAAAATCTCATGTAGTATCTCCAACAATATATGTTTATTAAGGAATCTTTTCAAGTTCTGTGTGAGCAATTGGTTTGTGATATCACACACAATTGCCACATAGGCATATTTCATAGAACCCATAAATGAGAAAATGATTCATATCCAGCTATCTGTCACTTACATGGATAATATTAGTTACTGTAGATTCAAAAATATTCACATGGAAATAATTATCGGGTAATTTCGGGAGAAGCACCACATCAGAAATAAAATTACCTGCCTTCATTTTTATTGTGCTGAAATCAACATAAAATCTCTCGACCAACCATCCATTCGTGAATTATAATTCTCGCGATTTGACATTGAAAAGTCCATTTGCAATAATAAGTACTCGCGAAAAATAAGGAATTTACATTATCTTAAGTTCAATCAAGGGCTACCCAAGTTGCATTCCATACACCCTGAGGCCTCAGGGAATAAAACCCAGGCTAAATCCATGTACACCCTTGATTGGACCTTGATAACAAATTCATTCCTATGTACCCATAACAATTCTTTGTAAACATCAGAGTCTATTATTATCTCAATGACAATCTATCGATAAGATAATGACGTACTACAAGGCATCATGACGTCATGTTACTTGGTTTTTATCATAGAAAAAGCATGCATTGTGACGTCATGTTTTTTTTACCCATGGCCCAAGTCCAGTGCCTGAAAATTTACATCCAACTCTGTAACCAATCAAAACTAGTGTTACATGCTACATAGGAAATAATGATGCTTATCCACCTGTGATTTACCTGGGTAATGATGCGTATCCACCCATCCGCCATCTTCATCGTCAGCCTCTATGACTTTCTCCTGTTCTTCTTTGTGACTGTCTACTTGTTTTACTCTTTTATAACATGGCACTACAGAGAAAAACAATCAACATATAACAAGGCACTACAGAGAAAAATACTCATTATATAACAAGGCACTACAGAGAAAAACAATCAAGATATAACAAGACACCATAAAGAATTGTAACAGTTATACAAGAGGCCCAGGGGCCACAGCGCTCACCTGAGCACAATGGCTAGAAAAAAAGCACATATCAGATCAGAACTGAAAGTTTACTGGGGGGGGGGGGGGGGGGTTGAATTTTAACCCCCCAAGGGGTCATGATTTGAAAAAAATTAGAATCTACACTATCTGATGATGATTCCATATAAATAGAAAAATAGCACTAATCATGGCTTTGAAGTACTTGAAAAGAAGATTTTAAAAGGTTTCCCTATATATTCCTATGTAAAAATTTGGTCGGCCATTCTGGCCCCACCCTAGCCCCAGGGGTCATGATTTGAACAAACTTGAATCTACACTACCTGAGGATAATTCCACATGAGTTTCATCTTTCCTGGCCCAGTGGTTCTTGAGAAGAAGATTTTTAAAGATTTTTTCTATATATTCCTATGTTAAACTTTGGTCGGCCATTTTGGCCTCACCCTAGCCCCGGGGGTCATGATTTGAACAAACTTGAATCTACACTACCTGAGGATAATTCCACATGAGTTTCATCTTTCCTGGCCCAGTGGTTCTTGAGAAGAAGATTTTAAAAGATTTTTTCTATTTATTCCTATGTAAAACTTTGGTCGGCCATTTTGGCCCCACCCTAGCCCGGGGGTCATGATTTGAACAAACTTGAATCTACACTATCTGAGAATGATTCCACATGAGTTTCAACTTTCCTGGCCCAGTGGTTCTTGAGAAGAAGATTTTTAAAGATATTTTCCTATACATTCCTATGTTAAACTTTGGTCGGCCATTTTGGCCCCACTCTAGCCCCGGGGGTCATGATTTGAAAAAATTTGAATCTACACTACCTTAGGATGATTCCACATGAGTTTCATCTTTCCTGGCCCAGTGGTTCTTGAGAAGAAGATTTTTAAAGATTTTTTCTATATATTCCTATGTTAAACTTTGGTCGGCCATTTTGGCCCCACCCTATCCCCGGGGGTCATGATTTGAACAAACTTGAATAAACACTACCTGAGGATGATTCCATATGAGTTTCATCTTTCCTGGCTCAGTGGTTCTTGAGAAGAAGATTTTTTAAGAATGCCATTAATTTTTCTCTAATTCATAATTATCTCCTCTTTGAAAAGGGTGTGGCCCTTCATTTGAACAAAGTTAAATCCCCTTTACCCAAGGATACTTTGTAGCAAGTTTGGTTGAAATTGGCCCAGTGGTTCTTGAGAAGAAGATGAAAATGTGAAAAGTTTACAACGACTACGACGACAACGACAACGACGACGACAACAACGACAGACAACGGACAAATTTTGATCAGAAAAGCTCACTTGAGCCTTCGGCTCAGGTGAGCTAAAAACATGGCCTTAATGAAATGTAACAATTGTTTAAAATCACATTATAAAAATATGTAAAGATATAATAATCCAAAAATTTTTAAAGTAGGAGAGACAGCCATGTCTTGAATATATACATATCATGATTTAAGATCAGGAGTGTAGGAAGTATTTACTGCTGGGGAGAAAGATTGCTTGGGATGGTGCCCGTGGGTGGAGAGGGTGGGACGTTGCATTTTTTTTTATTTTCCTTGCTAAAAGAATGATTAGTATTTTAGAATAAACACATTGATTGATACATGTTAATCCCTCCTTATTTAAAATTAGAAATATGTAACAAGATTAAAATAAATCGTATTCACAAGTTGTTTAACAAAGTGGTTTTAACCCTTTTTCTTCAGTGTCTTTCTTTACTTTACATGTTCTTAGATTGTATTTTTTTCTGTGTAACCAGTTGCTTAGCTAATTTATTTTACCACTTATGACTTGTACCCATCATGCAATTTTCACTTGAGAACATCCACTGACTGATTTTTACATGCAGGATTTACATCCTTTAGGGGTATGCTTCTCTAAGTTCCAGTTACTAAGACAGACAAAAATTGTTGAAAACTTGCAATAACTGCAAAAGTGTTTACTGTTTAATTAAAATCCCGGTCAAAGTCCAAATGCAGTTATCTCCAACCCAATCTGTTCTTGCATAAACAATGAGTTAAAACAATGGGTTTAAACTTTCCTGTTTCATTGACATTGAAGATAGCTCAAATGAACACATGTCGCTTTAACAATTTTTAGTTAGTTTTTTTCTTTTTGGAAACATTATTAAGACTCCAAACCCCTTGTCTTCATGAGGAAATATTAATTTGACAATTCTTCTATTCAATTCCTTGTTAATTGTGATGACATAACTTAGTCAAATTAAAGACAGGAACTGCATTTTTAAACAAAGCTCTAGAAAACACAAGGAAACATTAAAAATAACCAGAAAAAATAGTCTTATAAAACAATTTCTCTGTGCCAACAAATGTTTGAATTCAAATTAAACTGAAAAGAAAATCTAAAAATACTGTGTACAAGAGAGCTACACACACTAATCACAGTTAAACAGATATCTACCATTTCTAGTGATGAGGAATTGCTTGTCCTTGGGGGAGGGAGGTGGGGTGGGGGTGGGGGTAGGGTTTAACTTTAGACTACACCCATTATGCAAAGTAAGGCAGATATCTATCATTTCTCATGTTTCTAGTGATGAGGAATAATTTTTCCTTCATAAGGTAGCTAGGACTTAATTTTAGGCTACAAACATTAAGCATAGTAAGACAGATATTTACCATTTCTAGTGATGAGGAATTGTTTGTCCTTGGGGAGGTAGGGTTTAACTTTAGATTCGTCACCGGTCGACCATTGCCATGTTGGACAGTGGTGCACCAAGTGGTCCCCTGCTGCCACAAACTGAAAAAAAAAATCAAATTGTCTTCAGAACATATTAAAATTCACTATATGGCTATACTGATAATTAAATAAAACAAGCTAATTCAGAGAATTTGTGTCCCCTGCTCAGGGAAAAAGTAAACTATGTAGCGTTCGGGGGGAGGGGGGGAGGGAGTCGGATCCCCCTGACTGAATTTGTAGAATTATTAAATGTATTAGGGATGTCAAATCGGTCAATTTTTAATACTCGGTTACTCGGACGTTTTTCCGATCGAGTACCCAGGTACTCGGTAAAAGTGTAAATAAATATGAACAAGTTAATTGATAACTGTAAAAAATTTTAAACTCTTGTACGGAGGTTACCTGGAAATGCGTTGTAACAATTATTACCCCACCTCTGTCGATTTTTCCGTGAAATCCTGGCTTACGATTGGTTGAAGTCTGTCACGTGAAGGCAGTGGATTACTTATACCCGGTCAGTTGTAAATCCATACCCGGTCAGTAAAATCCATACCTGGTCGATGTATTGCGTCACAAACACAAACGTGACGTCATAATAGGCACAGTATAAGCGCGATGAAGCATTTAGCAGAGAAAACCATTCATAAACCACAGATAAAACGTAAATGTTTCATCGGTGGGGTAAATTCGTTACATAGTCTTTTAGTGACAGGGTATGGGATGATACCTGGTTAGTAAATTTCATACCTGACTCGGCTCCGCCTCGCCAGGTATGAAATTTACTAACCAGGTATCATCCCATAGAGTCTACCCTGTCACTAAAAGACTATGTAACTAATATGACCACTTTGTGCACGACGAAATTTAATCTAACATTTTTTTGAAAGTTCAATTTTAAAATTATTTATCAGATGAATACGAGAAATAAAATCATAAAGGGTTCACAGTGTTTTTGATTAAAAAAAATAATCTGTTCCGTAATTGTAATGTAACTCTTTAATGCGTTTGACGTCCAAGTGATAAGTTGTCTGAGGTACATGTAGGGTGTCAACTTGATCAAGTTATTCTATAACAGTGCGAATTTACGAACTTTGTACACTTTTCGATCCTAGATTTCAGAGAATTACGATACGGTATGTTGTAGTTTGGAGCAACGATGGACATAAGATTTTTAAAGCATTTGCCTTCAACCATTTGCATTAAATGGCATGTAATCGAACGCTTCCATATTAACAATCGCACGTGCAATATCGTCTGTCTCTTTTCCCGAGAATTTACGGCTTCTTGGAGAATTGACAAAATTATTTAATTTATTTAAATATAATGGACCTTAAACGATGTTCAATGAAAACAAATAATTAAAGCAAAGTAAACATAAGGGTAGAAGACAGTTGAAAGTGAGAAAAGCCAGGTAGGTAGCAGGTGCTTGGTCACGGTAATTACTGTATAAACACTGCCACAGGTGATAACGGTCTTTTAGAGGCATAGGAAACCCTGTATTACTGTATGTACAAGTGCAATGAACATTTTACGTTTTAAAACCAATGTTTTAATGTATTTTATAAATAAGCTTAGAAATATTTAAAAATATACATCCGAGTAACCAAGTACCGATTTTATTATTCGATACTCGGACGTTCGATCGAGTACCCGGTTAACCGGGTACTCGTTGACATCCCTAAAATGTATACATGTATACTGAAGCAAATAAAATATGGCAATATGGATTATGTGTATAGAAGATTCTTTTTATATGGAATATTTAACACACTGAAATGATGATCTTATGAGTTTGTACAAGCCACATCTCGTAAATTTTTCATTTCACATGCTGAATACTATTATTTAGTTAAAAAAAATATTTCAGGAAAAAAAAAGATAATGAATCGTCTGGGAGTCGAACCCGGGACCTCTCACATGTGAAGCGAGAGACATACCACTAAACCACTGAGTCGCTCTGCAAAATGGTAAATTATATGCAATCATGAAGTCACATACATGTATATATTCATGTTCGGTATTGTCAAAATTTTACACAATCCACGGTGTTTGTTTTATTTAGCCTTTATTAAACAGTTCTAATAGATGTAATAAGAACATAACGTCCGCCGAGAACCTGTTTTATACGCAATAACTCTCCTCATGCCCCTGTGCTAAAAATAGAAACATGTAATACTATAAATACTAATAAAACAAATGAGACGGGGCACTTTGAGAGGGGTGAGACAGGTCTTAGGGAGTTTGATATAAAATTACATTGCATAAGCTCAAAATCTTCTTGAAATATCGTCCGGAAATGATAGTGTTACACACAGACAGAATGTATAAATTTACGACCTTGAACTTTGACCTTTTGACCTCAAAATCAATAGGGGTCTTTCTTAGGCCACAGGAATTTCATTGCAATAGCTCAAACGGTTCTTGAGATATCGTGTGGAAACGAAAGTGTTATAACAGACAGAATTTGCTTATTTATGACCTTGACCTTTGACCTTTTGACCTAAAAATCAATAGGGGTCTTCTTTAGTCCATAGGGAGTTGCTATGCTTAATTTCATTGCAAAAGCTCAAAGCGTTCTCGAGATATCGTGTGGAAACGAAAGCGTTACAGACAGACAGAAAGACGGACGGACGGACAAACCCAAAATAATATCCCCCACTTTTCAAGCGGGGGACAAAAATTACATTATGGCTATACTGATAATTTAATGCCTATATTCAGTTCCTATACACTTAGTACTTAGATTACTGGCTCCTTGTCTCCATATTTCAATAAAATGTATATTTAATAATTTATTCCAATTTGTGCAGAAATTCCATGTGCATGTACATGTATATTTACCTCCTCAGGTGTGATCACTCCTGTTTCTTTGAATTTTGACTCCTGGAAAAAAAAGAAAAGAAAAAGAATGTGTCACTTTAGAAATAAAAATATTTGATTTAAATTATATCAGACTCCCACTAAATAAAAAAAAAAATAAATGCAATTATTTCATTTGCAAACTCATGGGCTTAATCAAAGATCAGTCGGAAGTGTAATTCATACTTGCCAACCTCCAGCATGTAAAAATCTGGTCATGACCAGATTTGGAACGTAAAAAATCTGGTCATAACGTGTAACAACATTCACGACATATTAAAATGATTAAATTTTACTTATATTTACAAAGTATTTGTGTATTGGGAATTTTTTTTTATTGAAAAAGGATTTAATTTACAATGACAAAAAATTCATACATAATTTGATTTAATTTATATGTTAAAAATGAGAATAAAAGGTTTAATATTTCAGTATTGACCTGAAGTAAGTGTGCATTTTTGAAAATAAAAACCTTTTCAGTTTCTGCTAAATTTGAGAGTATACCAATTTCAGTTTTGAAGTTATTTTTCCTCTCTCTTAATTAATCAACTACTGCATTATGTTTTAAATTTGAAGTTAGGCCTACACTGTCTTCGATCACTTTATTTTATCTAGAATGAAAGTTTTTTTTCCAAGATTCCTTGACATGTACATAAATATTGTTTCTCTTTTTCTTGGTTCAATCAGAGACATGTGTTTGGTTCAATTTGTTCCTGTTGGCCCTGATAATGATCTAGTTCTATCGGAAGCCATTTTAATTGACTTCAAACATTGATTTGTCAAAACAGAGACAAATAAAACCATATATGTCTCTGGTCAAAACAACACCCAGTTAATTGTTTACACCTGCACTGATAATTAATCCATCGGCATTGTTTACGTAGATCTAAGCTTGGGTTGTAACTGGAAATTAAAAGTGCAACCTAATTTACGAACCAAATGCGGAAATCGGGAGATTTCCAGGTTGTTCAGCAAAAATCGGGTGATAAGCATGACCCGCCAGGTCATAAAAAATAATCGGGTTACGGGTTGAAAAATCGGGGGAGTTGGCAACTATGGTGTAATTCAAAAAATATTTCATATGACATTATTCCAAACAAATCTCTGATTTTCATAAAATTACACCCTAATCATGCTAATATAATTCTCTCCTGTTCAAGTCACTGTTCAATTTTAGACATCGTATCTCATGCTATTTACTGCGAATATACCCTTGAGTGCCCAGTAGTCATACTCTTAAGGGAGTATCAGTGCTAAGTACAATTTAAACGAAACTTATGGTTATTTCATCTGATATTTTGACTTACCGTGTAATTGGCTAAATTGTCTAATTTTCTTGTTATTAAAAATATTTCTAAGTTCTTTATTGAATTTAAATATCGGGGCACAAAACAAGTGAGTTTTCGTCGGTCATTACTCATATTTAATTTGGACCAGTAGTCGTGCGCTCAAATGTAGCAGCAAATATTGGGCGCCAAGAAAAATGAAAAAAAATTAAAAACAAATTTCAGGTGACTAAAATGTTATTCTTCAAGGATCCATTCAATATTTTTAGAATTTATTTGAATTAAGGTCAGACGACACGTTCCTCAAATTTATAATTTGTATCTCTGGGTATTATATAAAAAATATTTATTTGTCATTCTCTTCTGATTTCTACATTGTATTCAAAATGTTTCTAAATATAACTACACCCAAAATTTCGATATATGCCATTCAGAAGATTACCCATTAAGGTTATATAAGAAATATGACCCTGTGGTATCTTGTCCAAATGCCTGGTAATGTACCCTAATTTTTTGTGAGGAAACTTGTTTTAGTACCTATATTTCAATGCCAAATTCTTAAGAAAAGTTATATATTATTGAGGAACGTGTCGTCGGACCTTAATTAGGTTTACGATTGTTTTTCTAACATAAGTCATAAGTTTTTCATCACTCTTTATATACACATATTCCTATGTAAATAATTACGCATTTCAGTATAGGGAATATAGCATTTAAATTATGAAGTCATCTTTTAAGATTATTGATGAGAGGAAAAAGTTATATACCCAGTGACCATCACGTATGATTATGCTAAGTAGCAATGTGCTCGCCGCATCCATAGGTGGCACTTCCGTGCAGGTAGAGTATACATTTATAAACTTAAAAAAGAGTATTAGCAAAATGACGGCTTTATTGATGCTTATGTTTATTTGATTAATTAATAAATGTTTCCTCTGCATATTTTACTTTTTGTTTTGGAGTAGGCACTTCCATCTCTCTTCTTTGAAAATCATTTGTTTATGACGAAATATCATAGCACGTGACCAACTTTTGACAACAATCAAAATGGTGCACGACTACTGGGCACGCACGACTATAGGACCCTTGACCATATATTTATTTTGATTCTAGTCTTGGTGTGTGTAGAATAAGAAATAAACATCAAAGTTCACTCAATCACACCAAGACCGAGCCTAGTTTGATTTTCATATTATCAATTTAAGTAGACTTAAATATTTTCTACATAAAGGCACCCATTGTTTTAACTGTTGAATTAAGTTATTTATATTCACTAGTGTCATTGTCTACAATCACGAGACTGCTGTCAATGAACAACCCACGCATCTTTACGTATAAGTAATGTCTATACACAATCCATAAAACAAGAAATTTTACCTTTAACACAGGTGTAAACTTCTCGGCAACATTAAGAGCTGTTCCTTTCACTGCATTAATCACATTCTGCATTTTTTGATAGTTCTGCACGGTGTTGACGGAACCTCCTACTCAACCGGAAACAAACTACATTTTCATACTTCTTCATAGAAGAGTTCCAAAGCGATGAAAAAGGGGGGGGGGGGGGGGGGGTAAGCAAACGCTGGCTTCTTGGCATGATGCAGAAAAATGAATAAATAAATAAATTTGAAAAAAAAAATACATAAAAAATCGACAAGAAATTTAATTTGCATTAAATACATGTAGATTTGTGAGTAACAGTATTCAAGATTAGTCGGTAAAAGAGCTTTATAGCTCATGTTCTGTGTTATGTGTATGTAGTCCGACTATAAATAAAATTTACTACTACTACTACTAGTAACTTATTTCGGTGGAAATTTTAGCTTTTGTTTAGCGTTCAATTTTAATTTGTAAAAATTTTGACAAGAAAAATTAGTTAGGAAATAAATGCAGTTTACTTCAATTATTCCTTTATCCATAGATTGTTTGTTATCTTTTTGAACTTTTCTACCCTAGGAAGTTCAATCAATGTTCTTCAGGCATGATTTACGAAATGAAACACATGGAGATAACGAACAGTATTCAAGATCAAAAGTCCATTAAAATACAAAATAGGAGCAGAGCAAACACGTACCTCCAAAATATCAGAGGTATGATCAGATGCCACGGAGAAGTGAGCATCCCCTGCTGACCGGTCACACCCGAAGGTGGGATCAAGTGCCATGGAGTTGTGATCATCCGCTGCCGACCGGTCACATCCACCATGTGCTTCTTGTCATGATCGGGAAATAAGGAAAAAATCCGTTGTCAAATCAGTGCATAAATATTAAACCAACAATTAGTACGAAAAAAGTCAGTCAGCATTTGTCTCAATGATAAATTGAATTTGCTGAAAAGGTCATTGATTGATTGATTGTAACTGTTTAACGTCCCTCTCCAGAATATTTCACTGATATGGAGACGTTGAAGGGCTGCAAATTTAGGCCTATGCTCGGCCCTCAGGGCCTTTGAGCAGGGAGGGATCTTTATCGTGCCACACCTACTGTGACACGGGGCCTCGGCTTATACGGTCTCATCCGAAGGACCGCCCCATTTAGTCTCCTTTTACGACAATCAAGGGGGTACTGAGGACCTATTCTAACCCGGATCCCCACGGGGCAAAGGTCATTGTATATCGACCATACAACTTTCGAAATGATGACTTAAAACCAGACAGCTGATATTCTTGTTTCATAAACTTGTTTGTTAATATATTACTTCATTTTAGAATTTTTTTTTATCGAATACAATGTATTCAAATGACAAAAAAGTGTACATGTAAGTGTATTTAAATTCAGGTGAAATATTTATAAAAATGAAATTAAAACTGAAGTAAGGAGAAAAATCTGATACAGATATATATACTTTTTTTTTTTTTTATATTTTCAGTTAACCAAATAGTACGAGTTTTATTCCCAACTAAGGATGGTTGTATGTGTGATTTAAAATAATATTTATTTAGTATTTTGACCATGTTCCAAGAATGTATCGAGAAAAAATTATTTGGATGAATTTACCTACTGACATATTTGGGTTAAGTATTAATAAGAATTGTTTATCCAATCCAATGTTTTACTGGAATTTTATTTTCTCCTTGAATTTGTTTGCCAGTGATAATTGAAAAACCTCTTACATCAGACCAAGGATTTCGAACTAATCAGTAAGTGAGGAATATATAACACTTCATTTCAGATCAGAAAGCCATATCAAACTCGTTATAATTTGATGACAGAAACATGCCGTGACATTATCTCATTCTTCACGCATAAAATCCCAGTAAAATCTTCCTTGAATTTATTTCCGCGGTGTAGATATTTTTTCTGAAAGGATATATAAAGTTCTAGAATCCATTTCTCAAGGATTCATTTGTGGATAAAGGGCAAGAAGACCAGAAGGCGGTGCATGAAAAACAGATTCACATTGCAGCTTTCACATTGATGGATTCACATAAGAGGTATAAATTTTACTTTTTGACCAGAACCTTTTACAACATATAACTTTGCGCTTGAATACTGAATACCTATAGTATCTTAAAAATTTAATATGTCAACTGTATATAAAATTGTATTTCATTTCAACTGCGTTAAGGTACAAAAACCCTCTGCTCACTCATATAAAATTTTTCTTTAACTTTTATGATTTTCCAAAGGAAATGTATATACTGAATAAGATACAAACAATTAAAGTATGACTTGGAGGCTGCAGGCAACATTTGACAAAAAAGGTGCTTAAACTCGACAAATTTATATTGGAATAATAGACATTTGTGTCATTAAGAGTTATCTCTCTTATCAGAGTATCAATGCCATAAACCCAAGATTTACTGTGTTTTATTGAATAAGAATGAAAGATTAACAACAACCTGTCATAAATGGGGGGATAGCAAGTCACATACTTCTAAAAAGTACACTTTTCTACTTTAAATATATTTCTATATCAATTTTCGTAATGTTGTTTCCTTGTTTCAGATGATTCGTGATACCGAGGTATTTTGCACTGATTTATAAACAGAAGGTCAGTTTCTCCGAATGAAACCAGGAAATGCAATTTACGGAGCAGAAGGTATTGAGATCTTTCTCTTTTTCTAACCATAGAATAATGATTAGGTCATATAGTAAAATAACTAGATAAAAATAAAACAACAGATCTTTGAAACAGGATAAAGAAAACGGACCCCGGAAATTCTAGAAAAGAAATCAGGTGCCAAAGAAGAGTTAGCAACCCCTGCTGACCTGTCACATCCCCTGCTGACCGGTCACATCCCCTGCTGACCTGTCACATCCCCTGCTGACCGGTCACATCCCCTGCTGACCGGTCACATCCCCTGCTGACCGGTCAAATCCCCTGCTGACCGGTCACATCCCCTGCTGACCGGTCACATCCCCTGCTGACCGGTCACATCCCCTGCTGACCGGTCACATCCCCTGCTGACCGGTCACATCCCCTGCTGACCGGTCACATTCACTGCTGACCGGTCACATCCACCGCGAGCCGTACGAAGTAAGCAGATAGACGGGGAATTCTGTATTAAAATCTGGTAACAAGGTCATTATAACGACCATGGAATTTGCGAATTGCTTACTATAAACATGATCATCGAAATTTCATGCAGTAACATTAAATTATCTGGGAGTAGCCTGAATCGGTAAAAAAAAAAACCGATCACACTTAAAGCAAGCTCTTGTGTATCGGAAAAGTTGGAAGAAAAAAAAACAACATAAGTAACTGATAGCGTAATATTGCTAAATAAATGAAATTAAATGAAGTTTGAAAAGCTGAAGTCAACTACTTTGTCAATGATTACGATTTAGCTGTTAGTTGGTCTCTATCGTCGATAGTTATAGTAAAGCACTATTCCTTGAAGCGACTGATACAGCGTGATTTGTATAAAATGATATGGATAAATAGTACTATGCACATATCCGATTTCCTTACCATATGACAATTTTCTTGTTTGTGCAACCCGGAAATGCACACGCAACATACAAGGAAGCACATAGAATATAAAGATCACAATTCCAAGAAGTTTCTGTCAAAAATAAATAATGATATTCTTAGAAAAATATAATTTTGATTGATCCAAATGATTTTTTTTTTGTCTAAATGAAACATGTGGAGATACCGAACAGTATTCAATATCAAAAGTCCATAAAACAATACCAAACAGTATCAGAGCAAACAAGGACCTACGAAACATCAGGTGGGATCAGGCACTATGGGGGAGTAAGCATCCCCCTGTCGACCATTCACACCCGCCATGTGCTCCTTTTCATGGTGAAGAAATATCGGGAAAATCCGTCGTCAATTCAGTGTATAAAAAATAGTCTAACAATTAGAATGAAAAATGTCAGTCAGCATTTGACTCAATGGTAAATCGTATTTGCTGACAAGGTCATTGTATCGGCCATAGTACTTACAAAATAATGACATTAAGCTGATATTCTTGTTTCATCAATTTGGTTGACAATAATTTACCTTGTTTTAGAAATTGGAATCATCTGAGATATATAAACTCAGAATGCAAGTGATAAAGATATATTGCTGTTTAAGTAATTAAAGAAAGTTGACGATAGAAAAGTGAAAGTCATCACGCTTATCATATAGCTTGGTTGTAAGATTATGATTAACGTCTTTTTCAAGTAAAATATTCAAGTATGAAACAGATGTGACAGACTCTGTGGTATCTTTTATCTCAAGCTCACCAGGATATATCGTATCGACGTAGGAATGGAAATGACCATTGTAAATTGACAATACGTCGTCGATATATCTAAATGTCGAGTTGAAGGCCACAGAAAGTGTTTTCTTCTTTTCACGTGCAAGATTTTGCACAAATTCTGCTTCATATCAGGCGCGTAGCCAGCATTGAAATGAAGTGTACGCAGAAAATGGTCGGGGGTCTGGTGGCCGCCCTGAGGCCCCCAGTGGGTCCAGGGCGAAGCCCTGGTGGGGGAGCAGGGGGCGAAGCTCCCGGAAGCTCCTGGATTTTTTTTCAGTCATTTTCCTTTAAAAGAAATCACGCTACATCTCTTTTCTCAAGCAAACACTTAGCTAAGTTATACTTACATGGATACTTCAGGAAGAGAAGGATAATTTGATCAAATTAATTTACGAATGTTTTGGTATTGGAAAAAAGTTTCCAAGTGTGACAAGATAAAACAGAGAAGTAATTTAATAAGTTGTCATTGGAGTGAAAGTATTTCAAAATATAAACGAGGGTGTGGGTCTTTTGATAACCTTTATATTCTGATACCTTAAACAATGTGAGAGTAATAAATTGGTAACATCAGTAAAAGAAGATATTCGTAAATGATCTATATTTTTATTTGCTTTGTTCAGAATTTTGCCATTTTTTTTTTGTTTATCGATATTTATTCATTACTTCAACGGAAATTCTTGTATAGTTGTCCAAGACCCTTGTAACCTTTTCTTTAAATTAATGTCACTTTGATCGCTTATCTTCTTCAAATACATGTATTTGTCTGGATAATCAGGATTACGCGGATTAACAGTTGAACATTTTGGTTCAACAATATTTTCTTACTCTAGTCAAGAATTTTGGAATTCCTTTAAAAAAGACTGGATTTTAACGATATTCTGAACAAAATTTGAATAGAAACAATAAGACGTAAAATAATTTGAAAGACAGATAGTGCCTCTTTTTCTCCGAAATTCTTTTTTCTTTCCTTCTTTCTTTCTTTTTTTTTGAAAATGATGTGAACGCACTTGCGTACTTGCGTATAGGCAGCTACGCGCTTGCATATGAATATAAAAAATAGGTCTGCTAATAACAGAGCGCAATTTGTACCCATGGGAATTCTAATAGATTGTTGGAATAATTGGTCTCCAAAACCCACATAGATAATGTCAATCAGAAACTCAAGCATCTTATTGATCTCAACTTCAGAGTACTTGTGTGTGCAATCAGAATGTTTTTTAACGAAATAATTTTACAAAGACCAATGACAAGGTAAGTGAATTAACGAGTTCTATTTTTATTTTAAAAAAGCAGCTGTCATTGATACCAAAAAGCCTGGACTTTAATTTATCGCAGGGAATGGCTGTGAATAAAGTTGAAAAGTAAAAATAATTTTTTATGAATTTGATTAGAATTCACCTCATTTTAATTCCCGACCTATTAAAACTATACACGAGAAGAAGATCACTGCCTATGGCCTTCAACCCGACACTTACATATTTCGACGACGTATCATCACTTATAAATAGTTGCTTCCATTCATATATCAACTACTACAGAATATGATACATATGTTTCATCAATCGGCAATCCTCGGCTGACTCCGCTACGCTCCATTCAAACCTCGGATGTGATTGGTGGAGGAATACGCAACAGATCCTTACATTTCTCCGCCGGAAACTGCCTTATCACTCATTTCATATTTCGCTCTGCATAACGTTCTTCGAAAATGTTTCTTAATCTGTGCAATTCTTTATCGTAAACAGGTTTTATTTACATCCTCATGTTAATAGGCTTTGAAAGCAAGAAAAAACTGGTGAGTGTACCACAAAATAACTCCGATTTTAAATGTATGACATTTGAAAGAAATTCAAATAAGATCACATGACTGAATCAGCAAGATGGTAGATCACCGTTGACGTCCGAGGTTATGTGCGAGGTACGAGTCATCCGAGGAACTCCGATTGATGTTTCATATCTGAATTATATGAGGAAGAGGTTAATTGTAACCTAGCAACAACACTCAATGATAAACGTGATGACTTCACATTTCTTCTGTCAACTTCCCATGCATAATCATTTGGAGTTTATATCTTCAAGTTTATTTGATATGCTGGAGCTCGAGGTACATTAATTTCTGAAACGAACAAACTTTTGAGAAATAAGTTTATTAAGCAAGGACATCAACAACTTTGTGAAAGTCAAACATTTTGCAAATTCTACTATTGGTACAATGACCTTATCAGCAAAAGTAATCTATCATTTAGTAAAATTCTGACGGGTTTTTTTCATAATAATTGTAAAGAAACTATTACACCGAATTGTCACGGATTTTCCCGTTATTTCCCGATCATGACATTGAACACACGGTGGGTGTAACCGTGGTGTGATTTCCAACGACTTAACATTGCCAAGTACAAATTCAATTGAAGGAATTTTAGTCAATGAAGTTTTGAAAGTATCCTTTTATATTTGATCTAAGCAGTGCTTAGATTTACGAATAAAATTAATAAAACTATTCATTTATTCGAAAAAATGTTATGCATACAGAGTAGTGATCTGATACAACACTTAAGGCACTTATCTTCACATATTTAGTGTAAACAGGGTCAAAACGAACTCTGGATGTGATTTTAAATTCTAGTAAGTACTTAAACAATTTTATTAATCCAAACTACTCCATCGTAAAGGCCCATGATTATTCCATTTTAGTTTTTTTTGATTTGTTGTGTTTTTTTTAACTTTTATCTTCACTT